TGGATGGGCCAGAGGAATGGACACTCCGATCATCCATTCTCATTTGAGAGGGCAATCAAGGCTGCTCGTGATGGATGGGCTCAGGGAAAGGCAGGCATGGGTAGCGAGGAGTGGATGAAAGGAGTCCTTGGGTATGCAGATGAGGAGGCTACTGAGGCTGAGCTAGAACGGCGTATACGGCAGTTTAGTCAGCTAAGAATTCCTGCGTACTATGTTTGCCCGCGTTGCGAGTCGGTTTTGTAATGTGATGTATGGTGCTTTAGCAGCCAATGCTGCTCATGCTGTTTTGGGTGCCAGCAACTTCATTGTTGATGAATAGTGCACATAAGGATCAACCAGGCCCAAGTTTTGCAAACTATGATGATGCACTCAAGCCTCCCGTAATGGCCGCTAGGATGTTGGGGTTGATGGGCCGAGAGGACAATACCCGGGAAGTGACTTGTATGAGGGGGGTTTCCGAGTACAATCCCGAGTTCCCTACGAACACAGAGGGTGCGTGAGGGGGCCGAGCAAGCTTATCGCTTCTAGCCCGCCCCCCGGACCTCGCACCCATGTTGCCAAAGAAGACCACAACCGGCCGCCGCATGAGCGGCCGCTGCGCGACCAGACAACCCTGCAGCAGACAGGCACAGTGTGGGTCGCCGAAGCCGACGAGCTGACACATGGTGCAGATGCCGACCGCACCCTCCTCACCGACGACGAGGCATGGTACCTTGACTCGGGTGCGACGATTCACATCTCGAAAAATAGACTCGATTTTATTGACTCCACAAGTGACCAATATTGCACGTGCATCGAAGGCAAACAGCGTGTCGCCCCGTACCCACAAAAGTCGCTCACCGAAGTCGCCAGAATCGGCAATCTGACCGTCTGGGACGTCTGGGGCCCCGCGCGCATCAGACGCATTCACGGTGAATTCTATTTCACACAATTCACAGACAAGAAGTCACGCCACCGCGTCCTCTACTTCGCCCCCGACAAGGGCCATCAACTCGAAAACATCAAGCCATATCGCGCATTTCTGAAAACACAGACCGGCAAGCTGATGAAGACACTTTGCGTGGACAACGGGAAGGAGTATATCAATTGCGCCATAAAGCAGTATCTTTGATCTCACGGCATTTGCCTCGAGCTAACTGCCCCCTATTCCTCTGCGCATGTTAGGGACGTGCCGGGCGGTAGGTCCGGAGTTTGGATGGAGTCCGGACGGAGGCGCAGCACGGAGGGAAAGGACTTCAGCAAAGCTATTAGCAACACTCTGAGACCTCCTGCGGTTGTCCTTAATTTATGAAGACACAAGGGGTCGGACTTGACCGGAGTTCGGGGCTGACTAAGCCGGAGCTCCACACTGACTAAGCGGAACTAAGTCCAAGACGATCAGAGCAGAACAGAGAAAAGGATGAAGAGGATGGCGAGGGACGAAGTCCAAGGGGACTTGTCGAGCGCGTAAGATCAAACGAAGTCCGAAGTCCGGAGTTCCAGAGCACGTAGGCTCGGAGTTACCGGATTAGGAAGGTCGGAGTTCGGAGGTCGGAACGGAGGTAGACCAAAGGAATAGATTGACAAGGGAGGTAGCGTGAAGGAAGGTAAACAGAAGGTAGCGAGGGGGTAAATGGGATGGGTAACGAGATATCCGAACTGAGGTACTACGGCATTCCGGGCGCATATTTAAGGAACAGAACCTTATTGTTAAGGAAGACAATAAGAGTGTAAGGAATATCAAATCCGGAGTTCGGAGATTCCGGAGTTCCAGAGTCCGGGGATGAAGACAATAGAGCTTATTGTTAAAGGACAAGATGATGAAAGAATGGTGCAATCGTAAGGGAACGTACACATGAAATCCGGAGTTCCGGAGTGCGGGAAGGTCGGAGTATGAAGTCCGGAGCGCGGGAACTCGGAGTACGGAGTCTGAAGTGCGGAAATTTTGGAGTACAGAGTCTGAAGTGCAGAAATTTTGGAGTTCAGAGCGGAGGTGCGCATGGAGCGTAACAGTGCAGAACGGCAATGCGGAATGTGCAAATCTCACAATTGTCAACGCCGCGCACGCAATGCTGTTTGCGCATGACCTCCCCACCTTCCTCTGGCCCAAAGCTGTCCAGTACGCAAACTACCTCCGCAACTGCTCCCCAATGCGCGCACCCGCCAACAAGACTCCATTTGAAGTCTTCTGGGGCCGCAAGCCACATGTTGGCCGCCTCCGTGATTTCGGCACTGACTGCTGGGTCTTGCGACAGGACATGCAACTGCACAAGCTCGCGTGCAAGTCTTGCACATGCAAGTTTGTCGGATTTTCCAAAGAGTCCCTTGCGCACCAATACTACAACCCCGCGATACGGCAAGTGCACACTTCAACAAATGTTATTTTGATAAGTCCACTGCCATTAAGGGGGAGTCCCGGCTGTCCCTATGCCGCTTGAGGGGGAGCGGGACACTTAAGACATGCCACAAGCACCCGCGTGGACCGTGAAGTCGAGCAGCTCAAGCACCGCAGCACCTACGAGCTTGCGCAGTGCCCGCCTGACTGCAAGCCTATTGGCTGCAAATGGGTCTTCCGCCTCAAGTGCAATGCGACTGGTGCGATCGTCAAGTACAAGGCACAGCTAGTCGCACAAGGCTTCGCGCACAAGCCGGCGTCAATTATGTCAAAACATTCGCGCCCGTTGTACGGCTCGAGACACTGTGCACCCTCCTTGCCTCGCGACCTTGACATCTACATCATTGATGTTGTCAGCATGTACCTCAACGGGGAGCTGCAGGAAGAGATATACATGCGGAAACCACCCATGTACGAACATGGGCAGCCTGCCACCTGCCGCCTGCACCACACGCTCTATGGGCTCAAGCAGTCAGGAAGCGAGTGGAACCTCAAGCTTGACACCACATTTGTGGCCCTCGGCTTCACACGCCTCCTCTCGGACCAGTGCGTGTACCGCCACGCTACCACCGACCACCTCGCGCTTGTTGCTGTCCATGTGGACGACATGACAATGCTCACGTCCTCGCCTGCTGACTCCGACACTCTCACAGACAAACTCGAAGCTCATTTTGAGCTGTCCAAACTCGGCAACATCCGCCAAGTCGTGGGACTCGAAGTTGACCGCGACCGCGCACATGGCACACTCATGCTGCGGCAGGCACAGTACATCACACACGTTCTCGAGCACTTCGGCATGGCACTTGTGAACCCCGTCAACATGCCGCTCGATGTGAACATCCATCTCGTATGCCACGATGGACCCAAGGACCCCAGCGCACGATCACTGTACCAAGCATTGTGGGTTCGCTCATGTACGCCGCACTTCGCACGCGCCCGGACATCGCGCACACCATCCAGCAGCTCAGCCAGTATTCGAGAAACCCTGGCCCCGTGCACCTCACTGCCGCAAAGCACGTCCTGCGCTATCTCAAGGGCGCGCCCGACTTCGGCCTCACGTACTGCCGCACCGACGCGCTCGAGCCTTTCAGCTATTCCAACACCGACCAGGCCAACGACCTCAACGACCGCAAGTTGATCTTGGAATCGTTATTGCCTGCTCCTCCCTCGCCGACTTCTCGACAAACCACACTCTGCGAGCATAACCTTCCACTCTTCCTCTACCATAGTGTCCATACTGTGTTTCTCTGCTATGTACTAGACCACCTGAAAAATTTGCAATGGTCTCCCAGTCGCAGTCATCCATCGCAATGAAAATGCACGATGAGCCACTGGTAGTCCAGCGATACAAAAGTGCTACCTCATTGCAATGAACATCTGCATCTGGCATACCATAGCAACTCAGGAGATAAACGATGTTCACCACCTCTCGCCAGCCAAAGACCCACCCATTCTCGCTGGTCTGCGAGTATCCCAGTCATGGTATGCGACTGGGGGGCAAGGCCTAAGACTTCAGAGGAGCGAGGAAGAAAGTAGAATGAAAATACCTGCTCCTCGTCGGCCAAAGACCCACCCATTCTCGCTGGTCTGCGAGTATCCCAGTCATGGTATGCGACTGGGGGGCAAGGCCTAAGACTTCAGAGGAGCGAGGAAGAAAGTAGAATGAAAATACCTGCTCCTCGTCGGCCAAAGACCCACCCATTCTCGCTGGTCTACGAGTATCCCAGTCGCGGTATGCAACTGGGGGGCAAGGCCTGAGGCTTCCGAGGGGCGAGGAAGAAAGTAGAATGAAAATACCTGCTCCTCGTCGGCCAAAGACCCACCCATTCTCGCTGGTCTACGAGTATCCCAGTCGCGGTATGCAACTGGGGGGCAAGGCCTGAGGCTTCCGAGGGGCGAGGAAGAAAGTAG